TGGGGAATTCTGGGAATTGAAGTCCACACATCTTAAAGTGGCCAAGGTTGAGAAACACTGGTCTAATTTATGTCGCACATTCCCCCCAAATCCTGATCCCCCTCTCCCTCTCCTGGAGGCTGGCTGTAAGCCAGCTTTCCACCAATCTGGTGCTGTTCGTAGATGTCAGATGAAGGTTTCCTTCATCCAAACCAAACAATTTGGAGGACACCACCTTTAAAGAAGGCTGTCAGGCACCTGAGATGGTTGATTCTGTTTCCTTCTTCCTTTTCCTTCTTCCTTTTTTTTCTCACTTCCATACATTGGACAGCTCATTGGACCTTGTCAAGCTCTTTGGGGAGGCTTCAGTTTACAAATGTGTATTTTCAGCTCACTTTCCAAAGACGTGGAAACCTGTCCTCGTTTTAGGGCGGCCCTGTAGAGAAGGGTGCTTCTGCCGTAAAACAAAAAGTGAAGGGAAAGGGTACTGGGGCCACCAGTTAAATGGCTTTTGAAGTTCTTCAGGTGGGAAGAACCTTAATCCTCGTTATAAAAAAATAGTAAGTTTTACATTGAATGCAAACCTTAAGTCCTTCAGAGCTGGAGGCTCCAAGGTGAGGTGAAAAGGGAGTAGATACTCCATAAAAGACAGTGGGAGACAGTAGCAGATGACAACGTGGAATAAAATAGCATTACTGTTACTCAGGAGAGCAAGCCTTTTTGCGCCCGAAATACGTCTTAAGTTCTTCCCACTACTAGCAGAACTAAAATAAACTGGACAAAGCAGATTTGCTTGATCTGATGCGGTATTTCAGCTGTGCTGGTTGAAAAAAACATGTGCACCTAATGTAAAAGATAGTTTTGCCTTAAACTGGATTCAGAATGGTGAGGAAAGTCCTGTTTGCCCACGGATTGGAATATGTTCCTGAATTTTCCTTAAAAAAAAAAATTACAGGAACTTAAGCTCCTTCAGTTATGTTTTTTTTTAACTAATTGCCTCATACCCCGAGATCTGTTGAAATAAACTCTGTTATAAATATGTTTACAATTGAGCAATAAAATAAATGGCTTTCACCCTATCCAAAGGCTGGGCAAAGGCAACGTCTTTAGAAATGTATTGGACATGTATTAAAAATACAAAGTGATTTGGAGGTGGTTTTCTGAGCGCGCTTGGTTAACGGTGGCTGGTGGTTGCTAGTCTCAGCCTCCCCATTTCAGGGGCCAAATTGTGGAAATGTATTGGAGTTTGCTAGAAGAGAGGATGGCCAATTCCCCGTTGCCCACCTCCCTCTGTGTTGACGCTCCTTTGTCTTCTCTCAAGGTTCCCCTCATTCCTGTTGTTATCTCGTCGTATCGAGATTTCTATAGTAAGAAGGATAGGCGCTTCACTACAGGTAACTCCATTTTTTATTTCTTTTTTTCTCGTTCGTGAGGAGCAGCTAGAGCGGTGTCTCTCAACCTCAGCAACTTGAAGATGTGTGGACTTCAACTCCCAGAATTCCCCAGCCAGCCATGCTGGCAGGAGAATTCCAGGAGTTGAAGTCCACACATCTTAAAGCTGCTGAGGTTGAGAAACACTGGTCTATATAAGCAGCCCTGGATCTCTAAGGTCTTGGCAGAGAAGGGCTTTCTGCTCACTACTATCTATACCTTTTTAAAAATGAGAGAAAACAGGAATTGAATCCAGGACCTTCAGTATGAGAAACATATACGATAATATGAAAATAAAAAACCATGATTTTTTAGAGAACTGCTAAGAACATTTTCAGAACATATCATGATAGAAACTCGGGTGCCGTTCACATGTGGATTTCTACTTTTGGTTGGTTTGAAATAAGCTTTTCCAGCTCTGGTTTGGCATGCATAAATGCATTGAATTGTCTTTGCTTACCCTCCAGTGGCGCCTTTTTAACATGTTCTTATTATCTTGCTTTTGTAAAAGTTCTCTCTCTCTCCACCTCCCCCCCCCCCCCCGCTGCAGGGCGCTGCACGGTCCAGGTCTTGTCCTCGGTGCCCACAAAGGGGCTGGGCGTCGACGACGTGCCAGCCCTGACAGATCGCGTGCGCCAAGCCATGTTGGTTGCTTTCGAGGGGCTTTCAGCGGAGCTGGGTTCCCCACAGTGACCCCCGCCACCGCTTTCCCCCACCGTCTGACCCAGGAGCACTACAGGGTGAGCCTGGGAGCAGCTGGCACCCACAGGCAGTCGACATAAAGGTGACGGGACCAAGACAGAAGAGGGCAGTGCTTCTCCCACGAGTGGAATCGGAACCGGTTCTGGCAGGGGAGTGATGGAAACAGCGCCCTGCAGCGAAGAAGGGAGACTTGAAATGGGTGGGGAGGGGGCTGGACTCAGCCACACATTTAAGGAGATCTGGGAGCAGAGCAGATCCAAGCCACCCTCGTTGCCCTCTTCACTTCTGGACCAGGGTTCTAACCCAGTTTTCTCCCCCAGGTAGGTGGTACAGTCCTGCCCCTGCCTCCTCCTCCTCCTCCCTGCTCCCCTGTTTTGTTCACATGAACTGCTCCATTGAAGCTTCTCGGACTCGGCAGTGCACTCCCCACTGGGGGAAGTTTTTTCCGGGCTGAACCACGGACCCCAAAGCAGCTGAGCCACCCCTTGAATCCTGCAGAGGGAGCTGTGGACCAGGTTTATCCTTGCTTCAAGGACTGGAGGAACCTTGGTGAACTTCAGATTCAGGGCAATGGGGCGGACTGGCGATGCCCCACTGTTCGCGGAGCCTGTGCGTGTGAACTCTGGACCTGCAAGGAGTCTGTTCTCAACCGCCCGAGGAAGAAGCTGCTGACCAATCCATCAGAACCTGTGATAGCGAAGGGTCAGGGCTGCTGAGCTCGTCATGGACCGGATCGTCTTCTTCCAGGGAGGGGGCTGGCAGGGAGGGAAAGGGAAGTAGAGAGAAAGGCGATCTCTCTTTGACGCCTCAGTCCAACCATGAGAAGGGAGCCCAAGGGAGCCTGTTTGGGGCACATAGAGTCGCATGGATTGCCCTCGGTGCAGGTTGTTTTCAGGTGTGGTGTAGAGGGGAGGAAAAAGGGTGGATCTGGGTGAGGGCAGGCAGAAAGCAGGACGTGGGAACTCCTGTTGCTTGTCTGCTGGGCCTGGAAGGTCTCTCCCTTTTCCCCTACTCGGTGTTGGGAAAATACCCTAAGTCCCTCACCCTCCCCAAGGCAAGGATGGCCTTATCCTGTGAGTTGGACCAGTGCAGCCAGTCCCTGCTTGCCACATGGAAAGTTGCAGGAAGGAGCACTGGCATCTGTCTCCCCTCTCCAGCTGTGGATGGGGGGTCCCAACTGAAAGGGCAGGAAGCCTTGAGAGGGGAGGGCAGGGGAAGGGAAGGGAAGGGCAAGCAGGCAGGGCTTGCCCCCAGGCCAAATTAAGTGGTGGGGGTTGCAAAAAGCAGGGGGTTGTGGCCTCAGGCTGGGGCCTTTGGGCCAGGCGTTACGGGGCAGGGGATGGCATGAACGTGGTGGTGGTGGGGCTCCTGCACATCCAATAAAGCAGGGAGGGTGGCTGTCTGCATGCCGAGATGGACTGGGGAGGATGTTTGCGAGCAAGTTTTTTGGGGAGAAGGGAGGAAGCCGTTGGCCCTTCCAGGGGCAGGGAGAGCTTGAGAGCCACGGGGGTGCCGGCTCAGGGAGGGCCAGGCTGATTCGTGGGGTGGTGAGCCTTGCGGTTCCGCGAAATACTCTGGGCACTTCTCCTCTTCTGCCTTTGGGTTTTCCCTGAAGATTTCTGTCCTCTCCCCTGGACGGTTGGCGATCCAAGGGGCTTTCTTTCCTCTTTCCAGATGCCCTTTCTTGGGGTAGGAGAAAAGAGAGCCTCGATCTGGGGAGGGAAGGGGGTGATGAGTGAAGGGACATTACCAAGTCCGTGTTTCCAAGACCTTCCTGCTTTTAATAAAAACCGTCGAAGATGAATCCCCTCCACACGTGCTGCCTCTTCCTCAGTCTTTGTAGCAGATCAGCAAGGGGTGTGTGTGTGTGTGTGTGTGTGTGTGTGTGTCTGTCGTCTGTCTGTCTGTCTGTCTGTCTGTCTGTCTCTCTCTCTCCAATATCACTTCTGCCCTTTCAGGAGCTCTTTAGAGCACTGTTTCTCAAACTTGGCAATGTGGACTTCGACTCCCAGAATTCCCCAGCCAGCATGCTGGCTGGGGAATTCTGGGAGTTGAAGTCCTCATGTCTTAAAGCTGCCACGGTTGAGAAACGCTGCTTTAGAGGGAGGCCAGAGAGCTGCCTGTGTGAATCTGGACGTGCCTTTGCTTCAGCGTTGAGCAGATTGGTGGGGTTTAAGAATGTCTTAAAAACCAGTTCCTAGCAGGCTCTGGCTGGGGTTGCTCTGCCCATTTAGGTTTGGGGTGGAATGGCCTCGAAGCACCATCTCGGTGCCAGCTGCTTTCAACAGGACAGAGATGCGGCCACCAGCTAGATCTAGCATGACGGGAGCAGGTGGGACTGGAGCGAGACACCAGAGGGGATCTCTGAGAGCCCCAAACTGGAGCCCCACGTAGATTTTTGCATAACAAGTAGGGAAGGAAGGGGAGGGAGAAGAGGCAATTCCGATCAGAGCCCCCACACACACACACATATTTGCACTGGAACAGTAGGCTTCTCACTGGTCAAGGGAAGCTTCCCCCAATGTCGCGGGGAGATGCGGAGGTGCGTACGCACACCTGGGCAAAGAATTGACGCTCTCCTGCACCCCTGCCAAAGGTCCGAAAGCGGATTCAGCCCATCTCCGCACGTTTAAAAAGCCATCCGTGCAATTGGATCAGCTGCTGTAGCAGCTCGATGGTTAATAATATGAGTTATTGTGCAATCTTACTTGGTTGATTACAGCGAATTTATTTATTTACTTGTATTTTTATTTTCCATGTTTATGGCTGCCCGCTGGTCTTTGGCTTTAGGCCGTTTACAAGAGTTAAAAACAGTATAACGAGTTACAGCAGAATAAAAACAGCCCACCAGGGGAAGAAACCATCACAGTTTTACAGGACAGCCCAACCGAAAGGTGTTTTGCTGTCATAGCTCGCAGGCATTAACTGACTTCTTGGTCTTTTTTTTTTTTAAATTCAATTTGATTTAGTATGTCCGAAAAGCTAGTAACCATGAATTCTAGTGTGGCTGGAAAGAACAGGAGCAACAGGGAAACTTCCTGATTGAAATCCAGTGTTAAACAACAGAATAAAAATGTGCAAGTTAAAAAATGATAGATCTTAGTAAGAATTGTGTGCTTTGAAACTGAAGGAAGGAGCTTAGACAAACAAGCATCTCCTTCCAAGTAGCCTTCTGCAGGCTGGCTGGGATTTTGGGAATTGTAATCCCACCCTAACCGGAAGCTCCCAGACTGGACTGAGGATCACCTGTTAGCAGAACCTGGTCAGTTTACGCACCTCATCAGAAAGGAAGTTGAAAACCAGACCTCATGGCAATAAAAGATGGATCCATCACATGAACAGTGTGTACATTTCAGTAAGGAGATGCAATTGGGGGGAAATCAAAGAGGTATCAAGGCTCTGTTGGCTTAACCTGGTTTCTTGAATCACTCTATTTTCTTGGTTCACGCAGTGTGTCGAACTGTAACAGAACCAAATGGGCTGAGCTTGCAGAATACACCAAGCCGCCAACTCCCCACCCCACCCCATCCTGAGATTAAACTCGCCAAAATCTCCCAAACTCTTTTTGTCTCCCGTAAAATCCGAAGCAACCAAAAAGGCTTAACTCTGGATGGATGCCACAGGCTTTCAGGGGTGAGAGTCTAGAGATTTCTGTGGGATTCGAAGGTAGCCATTGCTTTAATTAACCCAGCACAGTTGCAACCCGTTGTGTTTCGTTTTCAATTAATAAGCTATGCCCGCTAGCATAAATAAAGGGAATTAATTTGAGCTTCAAAGAACAAGGACCACCAGCGTGGAGTTAGGAGGCAAAAGATAGGCTGGTCGTCTGCAGATTCAGTTTGAGTCCAGGATTTGGGAATCACCGGGTGATGTCGTAACCAAAACCATTTTTATCATTTTGGCAGGCACCTGAGAGTAAGGAAATGAGTTTTAGTGGAATGGAATAGGGAGTTGAACACACAAATACTAGCATAGGAATGAAATCAAACCAAGGGCTTGCTTTATTTTGGAACGGACTTTGATCTACGCCCAAGCTGTTCCTGCCCCAGCTGGGTATCAATACTGTAGTGAAATGACTCCAAATGTTTGATAAGGCAACTCAAACCTGTGGTCCCTGAAGGGCAGGTGATAGATCTTTTGGTGGACCAGAATTAACTTCATCAGGCAGGTAAAATGTTTGCTTTCACCCGCCAATCTGAGATGAAGCAAAGCATTTGGTAAGTCAGGTTGACCCCAACTAGTCTCAGATGGATAAGATCTCCTTTCTAGTAAGAGGAGAAAGTTGGTTTTTTGGATTCACACAACCCCGGGAGGAAGAGCAGTGGAAAAACAATCAAGCTAAGCTAGGATTTTGTGTTTTGCTGGTCTGCCCATGGTGTGAACCAGGCTACAACGTAATAAGGAAAACAAAACAAGCCACCTTGCAGCTTAATACAATGTGAGGCTCTAGTATGTAATGATGGGTGAAATGGGTTAGGATATGTGCAGGTAAGTTGATTTAAGGTGACTTACTGGAAGGACCATAAATGGAAGGAGCATTGCCTAAACCCCTCTTACTGCTCTTGAAGATACTGGAGAAACACCACACAAACAATGGCTGTGTAATGCACTTTTGAGATCCCTTCACACATCAGGACAATTTTAACAGACGCAGAAAGCATATTGAGGCAAAACCTTGAGAGAGGGTACCCACTGGTGATCAAGTGCACAAGCCCCTAAGTCTCTATCTCCTAGGGTTCCTAGCCCCTGTGACAAATGGTCAGGCAACGAGAGTCATAGTCCAACATCACCTGGATTCTCGCAAGTTTCCCTACACCCTGAACCAGGAAATAGGAAGGCCTGAACCTGGGACCACCCGTTTGCAAGGCTTGGATTCTATCACCAAATTGCCAAGCTAGAAAGATCCACTAAGTTCGGTGGGCAAGATCCACAACAGCATGAATTTGAGTAGACAGCTGCATTGCCAACACCGCAGGGAGGTTAGCCTAGCTCTGATTCAGAGGGGTATTTGAGTCCTTGCACTGATGTTGTGGCTGATCTGTGTGAGATTCCCACATCTCCCTGTAGTTCCCCCAAAGAAGAGGGGAGGGTCACTTCCCCAAGCCGCCAATAATTACTTGTTGGGTAGTACTTTCCAATACTCACAGTCTCCCAGTTTCTCTTCAAGAAAAAGGAGCTGTTCGCTGAGAGATTCCACGTGGTCCAAGTAACGAAGACGATTCCAGAGCTCCTTGACCTGGGTGGGCTCCACAGAAGTTGGCAAGATAGAGATCGCGTGCTCCAGGCGCTGAGCAAAGGGAAAGGCCCCAGTCATGTATTAAGAATCAGAGAAGCTCCAGGTAGCATTTGGAGTGCTTCCTCTGATTTTTTTTCTCCCTGCAACATCTATGTAGTAGGTAGGGTGAGATGAGAATGTGGCCTCAGATCTCCTAGAGTAGCATTTCTCAATCTTGGTGACTTTTAAGATGTGCGGACTTCAACTCCCAGAATTCCCCATGCTGGCTAAAGTTGCCAAGGTTGAGAAATGCTGCCATGGCTTATGGGGGTCTAGAACCTGCATCTTCCTACTTCTAGTCTGACCCCTTCACCACTCCACCATCTGTTTCTGGGGTGAAAGAGAAAAGGGGGAAGTGGTTCAAAGTCCCCCAGGGAACTTCCATGGCCGAAGAGGGAGTAGGGCCTGTGTCTCCCTGCTGCTAGAGCGATACCTTTGTCACTACACCACACCAGCTGCCTTGGAAGTGCATAATTCTCACCCTGAAGTTCTCCATCTTAAAATTGCCAAGATGGAGAAACACTGGTTTAGACAGCAGTTTGGCTCTGAGCAGGAATAGCAGCGACATTTTTCTGGTGCTTCCTTTTCTTGCATTATTAGTCACAACAGCTGGACTCTTGTATTCGTGGTGTAACTGAGTTGCAATTTCAATTATATCAGCACCCTGGAAGTAACCTAACAGGGTGGGGGCGCAAATCAATGGATGGCTGGGCTGCAGTTGCAGGAATTTGCCTGTTGTTGGCCCTGCCCCATAATTAGTGCCAAATAAAAAGCACCTCTTTCCAAGTCTTTGGAGAATTTTCTTCCCAACTCTACTAAATGCATTCAGTGGAGCCCTGAACACTGGGAATATTTCTATTCTCCATTGTCAGCCTTACCAGGTAGACCAGACAGGAAACACAACCAGATGAGCTAGTTCTACTTTATTGTAATGTAATTCTGTACATTAAGAGAATGTTGCAAGTCTGAAAGTGCAGTTCTCCCACTGTCTTCTTTATAGCCTGAGAAGCTAGGGAGAGTCTCTTCTGAACCTCTTGCCCCGTCCACTATCCAGCTGCAGGCTATGCTGCCTCTTATCTGACCGTCTCTTGGCCCAGTCTCCCAAGATCATTCCCACATATCATCACAAGTGAAAATCCTGAAAGGGAGGTGATGATGAAAGCTAATTCTAGAGAAGTGAAGAACCTGGAAACCCTTCCGCTCCTCCTCCCTCCAGACCCTAATATAAATGCTTTAGAGCAGGATCTCACCTCTTCCAGCTGTTCCACTTTTGCTTGAAGCTCCTGGATCTCATTAGGAATTGTCTCTTGAATCCCTAAAGTTTGCACTGCAAGAGAAAAAATGAAGAAAATCTGAGTTGAGCTGTGACAAAACAGGTACATGGACCTTTTATCTGTGGATGGTTGACAGATCTTAACCTGGTTTCAAGACCTTGCCTTGTAATCCCATGCACGTTTTATAAAACCTCAGACTTACCGATCTAGGATGCTCCACTCTCTTGGGAGTGTATTTAGAATTGCTTCTATTTTTTTGCAAAGCAATTTGATTTCTATCCCATTTTTCTGCCCAGATAGCAGCTTTACTTCCTTCTGAGAATCGAGAACATGTTGAAAAAATGCATGAAAAAGAACGGGGGGAACAAATTAGGATAAAATTCCCATGGATTTCCAGCACTCCTGAAACTCCTACTAATCACCGAGAAGACGAATAAATACTGTTGGGGACCAACAACACACTTGGTTACTGAATTAACCCATTTTTGGAGTTCACAGAACCCATGTTTGCACAAAGCTAAGCCACAGAAAGCAAGGTTAAAACTAACAAGGTGTACTACATTGTAGCAATGCAACTACTAGGTCTTCCTAGCTTCTCTTCCTACCATACAAGTCCTGCCTTTCCCCCCTCCCAGACGCTAACTGTAGCAGTCAGGGTCAGTTTTATATTAACACAGTACCATCTTACTCAAAAATAATAAGGATTTTGGGGTCTCTGGGACATGGACTTTACCTTCTGGATGAGAAGGTTCAAGCTGAGGGAGTTCCTTACATTTAAAAGATGGTTGCTCTCTAGCTACCTTAGATGGAAAATGTAGTCTCCTTCAAGCCAAGCTGGACTTGGGGCGGTTTCATGGACAGATCAATGTCCTTTATAGCAATATGGGAATGGTTTGCCTTGATTTTCTTACAGGATGGTTTTGGGCTTCCAAGGGTAGCCTACAGCCCTGGTGGTCTCCCATCCTGACTGTGCTTCGTCTCCAAGCTTGCAAATTGAAAATCCCCAAGCCCCCAGCCAATTTTTCCAGCCTTCCTGTCCTCTCTTTCCCCGTGAAAGAGGATGATGGAGAGACAAGAACTAATCTATTTTGCAAAAACTCCAGAGGTTCATCTTCTTTGCATTGCACTGCACTCCTGAAGGGAGCTGCCCATTTTCTGCCAGGGAATCCTCCGGGAGCATCCACAGGAAGTTCAAAAAAGTCAAGATGGTGTCCGCAGCTGCCCAATTGAATCTCCGTTCCTCCTTTAGGTGTGTCATGCAAGGCGCATAGAAAAGAGGCAGGGCTTTGTGTAGTGGCGGCCACTGTTTTGGATTTTTTTCTACCTCCTCTGCGGATGCCCGTTCAAACACCCCTAGATTTCCATATTGCCTTTTGAGTCTAGGTGGGGCTGTACTTTCAGACTGATATGAAAGTAACCAAATCAACCCTTTGGACCAGCCTCTTTCTCTCAGCTTAACCAGCCTCACAGGCTTGTTGTTCAGGAAACATTGAGAAGGCAGTGCTAACTATGCTGCCTTCAGCCTCTGGAAGAAAGGCAAAATAGAAATTTAACAAATAGTTAAATTTGTTTAAACAAACGAACTCAAGACTAGTTTGGTCTAGTGGTGAAGGCACCAGGCTAGAAACCAGGAGACCATGAGTTCTAGTCCCGCCTTAGGCACGAAAGCCGGCTGGGTGGCTTTGGGCCAGTCCCTCTCAGTCAGCCCAACCCACCTCACAGGGTGGTTGTGGGGAATATAGGAGGAGGAAGGAGTATTAAAAGTATGTTTGCCGCCTTGAGTTATTTATAAAAATAAAAAAAGGTGGAATAAAAAAATCTAAAAAACCCCCAACATATATACATTATCAAAACTTGATATAGTCTTAGGGGCTAGAAACTTGTTTCTGCAAAAGAAAACAGGTTCTTGGAGTGCAACGCTTGGCACCCGGTCACCTTACTCATGGAGCAGTTGTGAATTACACAACCCTAACAATATCAAGCCATAATTAGAAATGCTTAACACGGTCGCTGGCGAAGAGCATTTCCTTTTCTACAAAGAGAAGTTGTGAAATGGAATGCACCATCTTCTCACCGCACTTCACTCAAAGCAGGATTTTTTCTGCCCAGAAACCAGCCCTCACGATCTGCACCTCAGCGCAACAAAAGCGTGGGGTGTCCTATCTCCACGTTCCTGTTTTGCAGCTGAATGATACCGACAGGCGTATTTAAAACAAGAATAAGGCTATGCCTTGAGTGCACTTTGAGAGCCTCTCTTCTGCAGCTCCTTGACAGCTCAGTAAGTTTCTGCCACCTCCTCTTACAGAGTAAATCAACCAGGAGCTGCTTGCTGAGTACAAAGGAAAGTCCCGGCTGCCGTGTGAGGTTCTGCTCTGTCGCGTGAGACAAGGATGTGAGAGCTGGTAGAACTATGAAACACACAGCTAGGCGACCGTCAGCCGCTTCTGAGGTTCACTAAGACTTCACCCCCGCAGAAAAGGGATTTAAAAATATATTCCCAGGGCCATCAGCTGCCTGTTGATGGCCTGGCACAAGATGTTCTTCCCAAAGGTCAGGATGTACAGAACGGATGTACAAAACCCATTGGGCAGGTAACAGGAACTTAATTTCAGCCCTCTGGGAATGAGGGAGAAACTCAGTGGGGTGCAAGACACTATCTAGTTTTGGGCCCCCAAGACAGCTTGAGAGACCCTGGTGGGCTCGGCTCTGTCCTCCAGTAGGGAGCATCCAGGGACTTCTGGAGCACAGCCATGATGTGGCAACTGCTGTTCCTCTTCAGCAGGCCTTTGAGGCAATCACCTTGTGGTAGAGCTGGTCCTGTCTATCTCAGCCCTTAGCTAAGGTAAGCCCAGATTGCAGTTTGCAGTTCCACACCACTAAGTCGAAAGTGTCTAAAACAAGTGCAGAAATGGGAAACGGGGAGTCTTCTTTGACACGAGTCGGTGGGTAAGGTTGTAAGCCTTCTACTGGCCTCTCAAATTCTAAAGGAAGTTTCTCTATGCTTGATCTGTTGGTTCTTCAAATGATCCAGCACACTCCTGTCCCTCTCCTCCTCCTCCTCTCCCCAGATGTGTGGACTTCCACAGCACTCTAACCACTGCTGGCTAGGGATTTCTGGGAGATGAAGTCCCCACAATTGGAGGCTACCCAGATTGAGAAAGCCTGTTCTAATCCAAGCTCATTGTCTCTCGTTAACCGCATTCCCTTTTTTACTCCAGCTTTAAGACCAACTGAAAGTATCTTCTCCAATGCACCAACTTTTAGCTCAGTTTGAACAGAAGGGATAAATAATCAGAAAGGACAGGCAAGCTTGAAACATCTCACAGAGTAACAGTTCATGCCGTACTGAACTGAAAGTAAGTCCCAGTGAACACTGAGGGACTTACTTCTGAGTAACTGCCCGTACGACTTTGCTAGTCTTCATACAATGCCTTTGAAGGTGAGAACATCTGGAAACATCCTGTAACATCACCACTGCTCAGCTAATCATAGGAATACAAAATGGGAAGCTCTTTAACTTGCTGCTGTGGAAAATCAGGTATTTTAACATCAGCGGTTCGCTTCCTTATTATCAGAGCTTAAGTCCTGCACCCTGAAACAGCTGAAAACACATTGGCTATATAACAGCCTTCCAAGTACTCGGATAGACTGGAATCTGATGCCTAATTAACTTCTGCATGATGGGTGTTCTGCCTAGGTGCAGAAAATTAATATTTTTCAAGGGAAAGATGTAGCAGATTTTTTTTTAAAGTCCATATTGTCAGGTCTTTGAGGTACACCAGGTGAGAAAACACACAGGAATGCTACTATTTTATTGTAGGGTAGTGTTTCTCAGTCTTATCAACTTTAAAATGTGTGGACTTCCATTCCCAGAATTCCCCAGCCAGCGTGCTGGCTGGGGAATTCTGGGAGTGGAAGTCCACTCATCTTAAAGTTGCCAAGGTTGAAAAACACTGTTGTAGGGTATAATAGCGTCTCAGGGTTTCTCTCTGCCCCCTCTTATACCAAACACAATCAAGACGGGGTTATTTTGAGTTCCGGGAGTTCTGTCATCTTTTCTCCTCCCTTAAGAGATTCATCACTCCCTGCCCCAAGGTCATCTCTGCCCTCCTTCACACCCAGCCTTTTCACGCTGCAAGCACACGGTCATCATCATACCCACCTTTGCTGCCCAGCAGAGGGACCGCCTGGGCAGTGGGAAGCAGGCGACAGTTCTTGCCATCTGGCTCCAGGGCATACCCAGCCCGACACTGGCACCGGTAGCTGCCTGCAGTGTTAAGACAGTCTTGGGCGCAGACAGCAAGAGGCGTGACACACTCGTCCACATCTAAACAAACCCAAGTCACAAACTGATCAGAGCTGTGAGTTTTTACTGGGGTATCCTCATCTGATCTTCCTCCTGAAGACCATCTTGGAACCACGTTCCTCCTGAGATCTTCACCAGCCTGACCCTGCCTGACCAAGAGAGCACTGAAGACCAGTGCAGAGCACTTTTTCCATAGGCATTAGGGATATCCACCAGCAAAGTTGGGTAATGCCCCCTCCCCAATATGGCCTTGTTTTAACTGTTGTATGGTTTTTAACCCTGGTTAGTCACCCAAAGTCATGGACAAGTAGGTGGCTGGAAAAGTTTAAATGATTAAAAAAACAAACAAACCCTATGAATAAATGTCCGACTACAGGAAAAGACAAATCCAGGTCTTGATGATGAGGCTCTTTAGTGGAGAAACTGTTTAAACTGTAGGGTATCTTGGGGATCTCAGTTTCTGGTTAAAAGCACAGGTCTGGTGCTCTTTGCGGAGTGAGAGAGAAATCTGAGACTCCCTTAGGTGTCTGCATATTTTAACTCATTAATTTTGGCATTAATACAGCAAACTGAGTTTTAGCACTTCTAGAATTTGGTTGGGGAGGAAAGAATAATTTAATGGGTGGAGGGAAGGGTCTGTGTGATGGCTTCTTCGGGGCTGTGACCTCATCTGGAGCTGTGTCTCTCAACCTCAGCAACTTTAAGCCGTGTGGACTTCAACTTCCAGTATTCCCCAGCCAGCCATGGGGCTGGGGAATTCTGGGAGTTGAAGTCCACACGGCTTAAAGTTGCTGAGGTTGAGAGACACTGATCTAGCGGTTCCATTTTAGATTTTAAAGGAAGGGAACGCATAATGCACATTGTAGCCACATTTGAGCACATCGCAGCCAAAACTGCCAGAATTGGCAGCTGGCAGCCCTTGAACTAAATCCGCCTTCTGAGGAGCATAATCTCCAGCTCCCATCTGCAGAGGGGTAAGAAGAACATCTGTAGACACCACAGCAAAGCATCTCTTAATGGTGCGATGGGCATCTCTGCTTCACCACCCATTTCCTTCTGAAAAGGAGCTTTCAGCAAAGCTATTCGCCACTCACAGTGGACGGTTAGGACAAAACTACTGAAAACATGAAGGACTGTCCTCTGGTGGGGCCAGATGACACACTGTGTGCCCACTGGGAGCATTTTCCACATAGCCCTCAACAATCATAAGGACTAGAACCCCCTTTTTTCCCATCCACTGCTCACGTGTCAGATTTCGCCCACGTGAGACTAGAAACGGAACCTGCCTGGTATGAGAACGAGACCCAAAGAATCTGAGCAGAGCGAAGAACCAGGACCAGAAACCAAATCCCCATGACTCCTGCCTTCCACTCACCAAAGTGGCAGTACCGTCCACCCCAGCCAGGTGGGCACTGGCACTGATTTGGTTGGACACAGCTGCCTCCATTCTGACATGCCTTGCGGCAAATTGCTGGGGGGAGAAAGGAGAGGGGAAGGCTGACCATGGGTCTCCACACTTAATGCACCGAGCATCTGCATTAGTCCCACGAGATATCGCTTTGTGGTCCTGCCTGGAGCATTGCCCCCCCCCGCTTTTTTTTTTAGAAGAATGAGTGGTCTGAGCTGAACTAGAGTTTTTTTTCTCCCCAGCCATCTGCTGTTAAAGTTACGTTGGAGGTGGAAAATGCCAAACTGGAAGAACACAGGGGCCACCCATTGAGCAGGGGGGTTGCAGGGTAGGGTCAGACATGTCAAGATGGTGGTCATGATGGACATAAAGAACAGGAGGAGCTTCAAGGACATTGTCAGAGCCACCACCTTGACTTTTTTGACCCTGCCCTGTGGACACCTCTGAAAATAAGAATCATCTGCATGAAGGATGAGAGTGAGGACACTCAAGAGCTGCAGAGACAAATGCAGTGTTTTGCAACCTTGGCAACTTTAAGTTAGGTGGACTTAACATAGCTGGCTGGGGAATTCTGGGAGTTGAAGTCTACCTATCTTAAAGTTGCTAAGGCTGGACAAATGAAATATTTTCATGAAGGCTCTGAAAGATCCAAAAAGCCACACCACAGAAGTTCTCCTTTACATCACTACCTGATGAGTTCCCTCCTCTAAGCGTTGTTCCATCTGCTTCTGCTGAAAGTAACTATTCCATTTTTTCCCTTTAATATCTTATGTAATTTAGACCAGGGCTGGAGAACCAGCCGTCTCTGGGTGAAATGCAGACGTATCTGGACCTCCAACATCTCCCCCAGGCCTGCCCGTTTCTCCAGGCCGAGCCCACTTGCTCTTCTATACTACATCATTGATAGGATTGGTTTGGTCTGTTCTGTGTTGCCCCCAACACTAAAGCTGGGGGAAGAAAAGTCTTAGATGAAAGTGCCTATTGTCCTGTACTTTCATTCATTTTGGTTCTAAGCTTTTGACCAAAGTCTGTGGAACACAACAGGGAGAAGATTCTCCACCCCAGAACCAAAATAGACCTATAGGACAGTAATTGACCTTGGTGGAGATTCCCTCTTACCCTGCATTGCCAGCTTCCAATGATGGGGTGGGAATAGGTCTACTGTTCCTCTCTCTGCTGAGCCCCATAGATTCAATCAGCTGCTCCAAAATGCAAAGGGACATTTGAAGGGTCCATATTCTCAAGAGGCTGCTGCTACTTCTCTGTAGCCACTGGGCAGTAAGTGCTAAGCCGCCTAAACTGGCATGCGATTGCAAATGGGATTGCAAAACCTTGATTCTCCCTGTCCTGTTTAAGACAGCTATTGTAATGGTATGTGGGAAAGCCCTTGGGAGACTGGAAGAGATGCTGCCTAGGGAACGGTTGGATAAGAGAGGACATAGCCCACAGCTGGATAGTGGGTGGGGCAAGAGAAAAGACCCTCCCTAGTTTCTCAGGCTGTAAAGGAGATCGCGGGCGAATTGTACTTTCAGACTTGCAAGGTTCTGTCAATGTAACCTAACAATAAAGTAGACTTAGCTCATCTGGTCATGTTTCCTGTCTGGTTTGCCTAGTAAGGTTGACAGCTATTGAATGTGACTGCAATTACATCCACCCTCTCAAGCATCTTAAGGGTTCACTCATCAAGTTCAGGAGCAAAAACTCTGTGGTCAACCACCCGTTTTCTGTGCAAAATGGCCATTTTTACTCCATCTCCGTTCCAAGCTGAGCTGGGACAGGCCACTGCTGCAAGCTTGGGCAGCTGCTATGAGCCAACACAGAAGGATTTTCTTCCTCCTCCCTAATGATAGTGCTGGGAATTGTCCTCTGGGATTCGGTTGCTCACCTTCCTCACACTTAGTGTCCCCCAGGTGACGTTTTTTCCATCCTGGGCAGCAAATGATGTGGGCCTGCAAGATCTCTTTCCGCACCTGCCGCGTGGCTACCCGGTAGGTCGTCCTATGGAAGAGAAGCCAGGTTCATTCTCCTGAGCTGAGTGGGCAGAGCTTCAAATAACCCCATCTCTTTTCTTTAAATGTATTCTACTTTCCGGCACAGGTGTCCTTACAACAAAGGAAGCACGGCAGATGCTAATTACCAATCAACTGGCCTTGAGTATCAGAGTCCCATTCATAGGTAGTACAGGTAGTCCTCAACTTACGACCATTCATTTAACAACCATTCGAAGTTATGATGGCGCTGAAAAAAGTGACTTACAACTGGTCTTCACACCTACGATCGTTGCAGCATGACCACAGTCACATGATCAAAATTCAGGTGCTTGGCAACCGGCATGTATTTACAATGGTTGCAGCATCCCAAGGTCACAGGATCACCACTTATGACCTTCCCAGGGGGCTTCTGACAGGCAAAGTCAATGGGGGAAGCCAGTTTTGCTTAACAACCACATGATTTATTTAATGACTGCAGCAAGAAAGGTCATAAAATTGGGTGCAACGCACTTAACAACTGCATTGCTTAGTGATGGAAGTTCTGGTCCCAATTGTGGTTGTAAGTTGAGGACTGCCTTACTATTAACAACCAATAACAGTTATTGGCAAGAAAAGGGATTTTTAATTGGTATTTTAAATAATCATATACGAAGTGGCACATATATACAAATATGCCTCTAAAAAGATCATGTTTATAAAAGATGCTGTAATTATTACACGAGACACAAAACAGCAGTGGAGACAGAACAACAGCAAAAGCGCCAGCTTGAATAAGATTGCCTTCACTGGCAATCTGAAACAGGCCTTTTTGGGGAGATTGGCACTCGATCTGTGTCCCTGCCCACTCCAAAGCATCTTTTTATTTTGGATCCGAAATATTGCACAGCCCTCGCGTGCAATTTGGCACTGCTTTAGCGTGCTTCTTCTCTAAACATCCCCAATCCATTTATAATTGGAAATATTACTTGGGAGTGGTAGAAGATGACACCTGGCATTGACCAGCATTGGGGGGGATGATCTAAAAAATTACATAAAATAGGAATGTCGTGTTGTAATCCTCATTCCCCTCTGCCACAAATTTAGGACCCAGAGACCCTTCCAGGTCCCCGTGTGACCGAAACCTTGACCATACCTGTACGTGCTGCATACTCGAGGTCCTGGGCACAGTGTCAAATAGGGCTGGTGTTGGGGCTTGGCATACGTCTCATTGTAGGCTAAGGGGATTCTCAACATATTTCGGGCACACACTCGGCTGCGGGTGAGAAATGGAAGGGAACTGAGAAAGCACATTTATCTCTTCTAATCCGTAGAGAATTGAGCAGAACAAGCCTAGAGCAGCAGGAGGCGGTTTTACCCTTGGCTAAATTCTGCACTGAGGCAGTTTGGGGTAGTGGTGAAGGCACCAGGCTAGAAACCGGGAGCCCCTGAGTTCTAGTCCTGCCTTAGGCACAAAGCCAGGTGGGTGACGTTAGGCCAGTCCCTCCCTCTCAGCCCTAGGAAGAAGACAAAGGCAAGGGCAATCCACTTCCAAAAAACCTTGCCAAGAAAACTGCAGGGACTAATCCACACAGTTGCCAGGAGTCAATATTGACTTGAAGGCAACCAAAAAAATCTGACTTCTCTGCTCTGAATTGCCTTCCTCCAGCAATGCAACATCCTCTTTCTCCTGCCCACATCAGCTGGAGGTAGAGAAGCACTGAGCCCAGGTGAGTGGTTTGGAGCAGAGAACAGCAGGTACAGAAAAGGGAAAGGATCTGCAGAGTGCTTCCTTGCTCAAAATATCTCCCACCCCCTTTAGATGCATTTTTGTCTAAAATCAAAATAACAAGTCTTTTCCCAACCATGGTTAAATCCATGTGTCCATCATACGCATGAAGCCCTTTGCTCTGGGAGGCAAGAGACAAGAAGTTCTATCTCAAGTTCTACCTGCCTCAAGATAAGTTCTACCTATCTCAAGATAAGTTCTATCTATCTATCTCAAGATACGTTCTACCTATCTCAAAATAAGTTCTACCTATCTCAAGATAAGTTCTACCTATCTCAAAATAAGTTCTACCTATCTCAAAATAAGTTCTACCTATCTCAAGATGTTCTATCTATCTCAAGATAAGTTCTATCTATCTATCTCAAGATACGTTCTACCTATCTCAAAATAAGTCCTACCTATCTCAAGATAAGTTCTACCTATCTCAAAATAAGTTCTACCTATCTCAAAATAAGTTCTACCTATCTCAAG